TTCCTCCCTTCCCCTCTCTGAAAGTAAATAAATAAAATCTTAAAAAAAAACACTTTTAGTATTTTCTGAGTCGAATCCCCCTCCAGAATTTCCATTCTTAATGTGTTTTATATATACTGTTATTAAAATATCTCAAATTAAGTTTACTTCTCACAGTTCTTAAATAATTATTTAATAGAATTTCCAGATTGCTCATTTTTCAAAAGAAAAAAACTTGAGCTTCAGAGGATTAAATGCAGTATCCAAGATTATACAATTATCCTGTAGCAGGGCCAGGACTAGAATTTAGGATTCCAAGTATTATTTTTACTAATTTGTAATTTAGTTGATAGAGTAAAAAGAGAAGCAAATAGTCACACAATATATATATTTGACCAACAGAATAATTGAGTATGTATTTCTGCCTTCAAAGTGGGCACTCACCTCATGGCATCTGACTCATTCTACTGTTCTGCAGTAGCACTTCAAAGCTTCACACATAAGAGCAGTGGACTGTGTAAGTTCTTCAGCACTTGGTCAACCTCTAAATGTCAAGAAACCAAGCTAAATATGCTACCCATTGCAGCAGCTAAGGTGGTAACTGCTAGAAAAGGTTGTTTCATTTTTAAATCTATTAGATTAATGAGAAATGAACTATTTAAATTTGAACTGTGTATCCTTTTAAATCAGTTAATTGATATGTATCCAATTTCACATCAGAATAAAAACATTCTTTCAACTCCTCACAAGAAATTTGAAAGAATTACTCTGATGTACCACAAAAGTGGACACACTAGGTTAGGAACATGTTACATCTAGTCCAATATTGTTTTTTACCTATTTCTCAGGAAGCCCTTTCTTGACCATATTTGGGGAAGTGGCACTTCCCCCAGGAGTTCATTACCCTGTTCATTTTCTTTATTACACTTAATCTTATTTTTGTTATTTTTATTTCCTGTCTTCCCTGCACTAGAATATAAACTCCATGAAGATAAAGATTGTCCATGTTGTTAAGATTACCTAGACAATGCCTAACATACAATATGCACTCAAATAAATTTTTGTCGATGGAAACAGTGATGTAAAATTTCCTAAATTGAATTTTCAGCCTGCCTTCCACCAAATACAGGATCATGGTGAGCAAATCAGTGTTAACTGATCCCCAGTCTTGACCAGTTGAGAGACATCTGGCCTAACCTTTTTTTTTCTTCAGTTTTCTTTCTTTGATTATTTTTTGAGGAAGAAAAGAGGACCAACATTTATTTAATATCTCCGACATGTTTGATAAGGCACTAGTGTTTTATGTATATTAGCTAGTTCAGTTCTTACAACTAGTTATTCTTGTCTTTATTTTACAAACAGGAAATTATGTTTTCATGTTAAGATTTTTATTTAGTTCTTTTACATATAGCCTATGCTATATAAAAGTTTTTAGATGAAAACATGATTATATCTTACGGTTTTCTTTTCCTGATTTAATTTTGGTAAATCATCTTTTATTTCTCTTTCATAATTTAGTTACCCTTTTTGAAATACTAGCTTCATTATTTTTCTTAATTAAATGATATAACCAATAAATAATATTCTAAATGAGGGCACACATTGATATTTAATAGGTAGAATACCAGATTTGATTTGTTTTTTTTTCAGTTAACCTTCCTTATCATGGACTATTCCATTTACTTAATATCTTCAGCAATTGCCTGTTTCTGTTCTGATTTGTAACTGATAATTCGGAGGCTTCTTTACGCATTATTTATGTTCTTTTTCTAAATGTGTAAGTGTATTTTCAGCTTACATGCTGCCTTTTTCTCTCATTCAGACAACTTCAGGAAATTTTTCTTTTTATTACTAAGATTTCCTAGTCGATAGAGCCCACTGTTTACTGAAGATCTGAGGTAGCTCTGATCCATCTTCCAATAATTTATTAAAAAGTTACCCTGAGCCCTAGCTGGTATGGCTCAGTGGATTGAGTGCTGGCCTGCAAACTGAAATGTTGCAGGTTCAGTTCCTGGTCAGGGCACATGCCTGGGTTGCAGGCCAGGTCCTCAGTTGGGGGCATGCCAGAAGCAACTGATTCATGTTTCTCTCCCTTTCTTTCTCCCTCCCTTCCCCTCTCTCTAAAAATAAACGAAATCTTTTTTAAAAAATTTACTTTCAACTGGTTCCCATTCCCAGTCACTGAGGCATCTGACTAGTTTTGCTCTTCTATCCATAGCAGTGCCCGTTCTTCCCCCCTTCAGTGTACTGCCTCTAAATTGGTTCTTAATCCATTACAGAAATAGTTCTTATGCATGTAGCCTCAATTTTAGTAGTATTCAAGCATAGACGCTAGCCAACAGTTTCCTAAGTAGACTGCAACTAATAGTTTATTTTCCTAAAGAGCTCTGCTTTAAAAAATTAAAATAGATCTTGCCTTTCTCTCTTTAGATGTTAGTACTATTTAAATATTTATAAATAATACCTTTTTAAACAAAATTTATAAAATTAACTGGTTGGCCAGGTTTTGGGGTGAAATAGTTACAGATTCTTTCTTAAGGATACTGACTTCATTGACAGTTCACAAGTCCTCTAACACAGTAGCCATAGGTAAGACATGTTATATATTTTGGTTCTACAGTTATCTCATTGGATTTCTTTAATACTCTTCAGTAATATATGTAAATTAAATTGTTTTTTAATAGTTGTCAGGTATCCTATGTATTTGACCAAGAGGAACAGCCTGGGAAGAATGGGAAATTATTGTCCTGTTTAAACATAACTGCCTTTACCTTATAGAAAAATATAATTTTGGTATCCTCTATATTGCTCATGGTATATACGACACAATACAAGTTTGGTGAATGAATGAATGAGAAATATTCTAAGATTGTATCTTCTGAAAGTCATAAGCCAGATCCTTTAAGAACCAGAAGTGACATGTATTCTCCAGAAATGGGTACTGTTGGCATAGTACAGGATATATATATAGGAAAAGATTCTTAAAAGATACGAGTATTATTTTATACTTAATCTGTGTGCTTGTGTGGAAATTTTAGCATTTTCCTTCAAATACTTACAGGAGAGTGAAGAGTTAGACTGGAATTTATTGAAGCCGGATATTTATGCAACAATCATGGATTTCTTTGCATCTGGATTACCCTTAGTTACTGAGGAAACATCTTCAGGAGAAACAGGTAATATGTTGGGTAATTAATATTTATCTTTTTAAAAAGACTCCCACTTTCTTCATATTTCTCTTAATTTCGGAAGTCATGGGAATACAGATTTTTATCATTGTACTATGTATAGCTCTGGAACCAATTCCAGAGGAAATAAAACTTTGTATATGTTGTACTAGTTTTGCACAACATTTTTGAAAACCTGTCTATAAATTGAATGTTATACAAAACTAAATTTTTCAATTATAAAAATCTTCAAAAATAGTATAAAGCTCACCAATTTGCCCTCAGATTAAACAGTTGTTAATTTTTGGCTATAATTGCTTTAGACCCATTTTTTTTAAAGGCTTTATTTGTTTATTTTTAAAGAGAGGGGAAGGGAGGAGGAAAAAGAGGGAGAAAAACATTGATGAGAAACGTCAATCGGCTGCCTGTCAAACACACCCTGACCTGGAACTGATCCCACAACCCAGGCATGTGCTTTGACAGGGAATTGGACCAGCAACCTTTCACTTTGCAGAGTGATGCTCAACCAACTGAGCCACACTGGTCAGAGCTTCTTTACACCCGTTTTTAAATAAAATATTAAAATCAAAGCCCTGTAACCCAATCTCTTTCCCCTTTCTCCTTCCAGTTTGTTTTTAAACATTTACTGCAAATACAAGTCTCTGCAGGGAGTAGTGAACATTGGGTTTTGTTTTTAAACTTTAAATAGCTCGTATTATGTGCAATTTTCCTTTTTCCACCGAGCATAATTTTTTGAAATACATTCATTTGTAAAAAATGTAATTCTGTTGTGTTTAAGTGCTGCATAATCATTGTATGAGTAAACGACAGTTAATTATTTTGTTCCTTTACTTATGTTCAGGTGAATTGTTTGTTCTAATTTTTAATACAAATATTGCAGTGGGCATTTTTGTACAGCCTCCTTGTGCATCTGTGCAGAGTTTCTTTAGAGTATATTCCTAAAAGTAGGATCGCTGTATTATAAATTGTTCTATTTACATGTAAATTAGAAGTGTATAAGAATTTTGACTTTTCTTATATCTTTATTATTGTTTAGCATCTTTTACATTTTTTAACCAATATGTTAAGTGTAAAGTGATATCTTGCTTTATTGGCATTTCCTTGGTATTATAGTACTGAGCCTGAAGGTTTTCATGTTTATTGGTCATTGTTTTCCTTATCAATAATACAGGGTCCAGCACAGATAACACCCCTTTTTTTATTACAAAATCATAAGCATGTAATTCTGTAACATAACAATATTATACTCAAGTACGCCATATAACATTTTAGGTGAAATATTATTATACCCAGATTATTTCCCTACCAACCACACTCAAGCAGGCCTTACTTCTGCCAGACCCTGTATATCTTGTTCATAATCTTTGCCCATTTAAAAAAGAAAAAATTGTATGTCTTTTTTGTATTGATTTTATCAGGTTATTAAAAAGTATGAACAAAATAGAAACAGAGATGTGGATACGTGGAACAGACTGACAACAGTCAGAGGGGAGCGGGTGCTGGATGAAAGAAGGTGAAGGGATTAGCCAAAAAAATTTATATATATAACCCCTGGACACAGACAACAGTGTGGTGATGGCCAGAGGGAAGGGGTAGCAAGGGCTGCGAGAATAGGGGCAATGGGGACGGAAATGGGGACATCTGCAATAGAATCAACAATAATAATAATGAAAAAAATGTACAAGTGAAAAAATAAGTAATGAGTATTCTGAGTGTCAGCTTCTTGTTAGGCTCTTTCCATAGCAGATAACTTCTCCCTAACCATGATTTATCTTTTCACTATGTGTAGCATGTCTTTTATCATTCAAAAATTTTTCTTTTTCTTTTTTTTTTTATAATATGGAGTGTTTCGTGAATTTGTGTGTCATCCTTGCTTATGGGCCATCATAATCTCTGTATCATTCCAGTTTTAGTGTTTGTGTTGCCAAAGGAAGCACAGCTTTTCTTTTTAATGTAGCCACATATATTCTTTTTTTTTTTTTTTTTTTTTTTTTTAATGGTGTGGGCTTTTTTTACTTTGATGAAAATAAGTTTTTTGTGTAAAGCACTTGGAAGAAGAACTGCACATGGAGCTCAATGATGAGCTCACTTATGTTATAGTGTAATTTAAGTTGTCTACATTTTTAGTTTCTCTGAAGGTAAATTTATCAAAAAAAAATTTCAAAACCATAAAAAGGCATTGGTGAAAATCAGTATATAACCTTACGGAGTTAAAGAAAATCAAAAATGTGCTTTTCTAAGGAGGAGATACAGAGGGCCCAGAGGCATTTGAAAGGATGCTCTGCATCACTAGCCATCAGAGAAATGCAGATCAAAACCACCATGAGGTACCACCTCACACCGGTCAGAATGGCCATCATAAACAGATCCACAAACAACAGGTGCTGGCGAGGCTGTGGAGAAAAGGGAACTCTAGTCCACTGTTGGTGGGAATGCAGACTGGTGCAGCCACTATGGAAAGCAGTGTGGAATTTCCTCAGAAAGCTGAAAATGGAACTGCCTTTTGATCCAGCGATTCCCCTGCTGGGACTATACCCTGAGAACACCAAAACGCCAATACAAAAGAACCTATGCACCCCAATGTTCATAGCAGCACAATTTACAATAGCCAAGTGTTGGAAGCAACCTAAATGCCCATCAGTAGATGACTGGATCAAAAAATTATGGTACATATACACAATGGAATACTACGCAGCAGAAAGAAAAAAGAAGTACTAAACTTTGCGACAGCATGGATGGAACTAGAGAGCATCATGCTAAGCGAAATAAGCCAGGGGGCGAAAGACAAATACCATATGATCTCACCTATAAGCGGAACCTAACCAACAATGCAAAGAAGCAAGGAAAATATGACCAGCAACACTGAAAGGAAAAGAAATCAACAGAGACAAGAGGGAAGGGGGGGGCAGGGAAAGGGAAGGGAAGGGGAAAGTCAAGGAACATATAGCAAGGACTCATGGACAAAACCAAAGGGGAAGAGCTGAGGGAGGGAAGGTGGGAGGGGGCAAGGGAAAGAGGTGGGGGGAAGGCAGAGACAAATGTATTTAAAAAGTAAATAAATTAATTAAAAAAAAAAAATCAAAAATGAAACTAAACTTCAAAACAACTTTTTGCTAAGATTTGTAGAATGTTTTGGGAATTTCCATAATGCTTACATTTATATTCAGTATGATCATCATTTTTAAAACCACAGAATTAAGAAATTGAAAATGTAACCTAACTTACAAAAATAGGTGTGCTTTTTTTGTCTCAGAATTTTCCATCAAAATCCAAATAAATTGTTTCTGCTTCAGTTGTTTTCAATCTTGAGAATGAGGGAAGTTTACAAACTTATTGCCCAAAATACTCAAATCCTATTTTCCTTCGTAGATTATTTCAGTATACTCACCTTTATCACCAGATACTGAATTGATCGGTGCTTCTTAATTTTCCTTCAGAAAATCTAAAGAATGATCTTTCTGTAACCCCAAAATTACTTTATCACCATACCAAGTTGAATGTTCTGTGCTGTTATTTTTTTAATGAGACATTAAAATTTAAATTTGGGTTTTTTTAAAAAAGATTTTATGTATTTTTAGAGAGAGGGGAAGGGAGGGAGAAAGAGAGAGAGAGAGAAAGAAACATCAATGTGTGGTTGACTCTCACGCATCCCCTACTGGGGACCTGACCAGCAACCCAGGAATGTGCCCTGACTGGGAATCAAACTGGCAACCCTTTGGTTTGCAGGTCAGTGCTCAATCCATTGAGCACCACCAGCCAGGGCTTAATTTATACTGTTTTAATAAATGTATTTGAATGGCTGTGAAATGTATACTCTTGATAATGTTTCATTTTTAATTGTTTCTAGGATCTGAAGATGATGATGAAGTTGTGGCAATGATTAAAGAACTGTTAGATACTAGAATACGGTATGTGATGATCTTTCTACTTGAGATCAGTTATACTGCAGAGCCAATTTTTATTACAGCAATTTACTTTTGGTTGTCTCTGAGATTATAGTAGGGTTTTAAAAGAAGTATAAGTTAACATAAACCATGGTAGGTAACCATGACAGTTGAATTTAAAGCCTATATATTGTCTATATTCACTCCAAATTTTAAAACAATCTAAACATAATCAGTAAATGAATTTATTGTTCACATTCATCATTTAGATTTGATATTGTTATAATACCAAATTTCTTTTTAAAAAAAGACTTAGTGTTTGGGAAGATTGTCAGGGGGGGATTACTTCTTTTTTAAGGCTATTGTCCATAAGAATAAACTTAAACAAGCAGAGAACTTCAGGCTTCAACATTTTGCTTCTAGCAGACCAATGGTCCTGGTCAGAAGTTCTAGAAAAACTAGGTAAAATACAATTAAAAGAAAAATTTTGTGTGTGGAGACACTAAATAGTTACCAAAGCAAACAAGATCCTGTAGAGAAGGAAAAGCACATTGAGGCTCTCTTGGAGCATTTGCGGATTCTTGGTGTGAGGCTAGATTATGAGAAGCTGGTTAGGGGCAGCTGCTAAGAATCAGAGAAACCGTATAGCTTTTAGCAAATTTGTTCAGATGGGAAGACAAAAATTAAAATTCTGGGTCCCCAATGAAGCTTTGTCTTAAAACGCCAATATCCTAGAGAGAAGTTAAGAAAAAGTAAGCCTAACACTTAGAGGTTCTTTCCACAAGGCACTTCCTTATTTTTAGCTGTGTAGGGAAGAGACCAAGAAGATGAAAAGCAGTTAGAAAGCTAAACAGAGTTGTGGCAGTCTTACAGTTCTGGCAGTGACAAAAATTGGAGGTTAGGATCAGTCAGGGAGGGTGGCAGCCTCAAGAAACATCCAGGCTCTTAGTTGGGCTCCCTATTGGACTATATCCTTGTACTAGGGGCAAACCAGAGGTAGATCATGGTCAATAAAGAAATCACAAAGGAAATTTAAAATAGAATATCTGCATGACCCTTGTGTTTGCAAATAGTTTTTCCAACAGGACACAAGAAAAATCATGGAAAAGGACATAAATTAGACTATAGTATTTTTTTCATCAAAGGATGCCATTTATAGTGAAAAATAAAGTACAGAGTAGAATATATTTACAGTACATATATGACAGTATATTTTGAAACTCCTACAATTTGTTAAGAAAAAGCCAGTCAAAAAGAGACTGGAGCATCTCTTCACAAAAGCACTGGAGCAGCAACTCAAAAATGACAGTAACCAAATGGCCACTAAACATGAAAGAATGCTCGACCTTATTAGTAACTATGAATATTCAAATTAAAACCACAATGAACTGTCACTGAAAATCCACTGGAATGGTTAAAATCATCAAGAGTGACAACACCAATTGTTGGTGAGGATGTGGAGCAACAGAACTCCATATATTGGTAGGAATGTATATTTGTATTAGCACTATCTCCTAAATCTAAAAATGTGCATATTCTTGATCCAGCAATTCTTTCAGGTATAGTCCCAGTAGTAATATATATGTATACCAAAAGACATTTGCAAGAATATTCATGGCTGTACCATCCATAAAAGCCAAAAACGTGCATTAACTGGATGTCCATCAGCAATAGAAGGGACAAATTCTGGCGTATTCATTTAATGGAATACTATGCCACAGTGAGATTGAACAAACTATACTACATGCAACAATGTGGACAAACCTCAAAGAGCAAAAAGAAGCCATATGCAAAAGAGTGAATACTGTATGTTTTCTAAATGGAATTTATATTTATAAAATTTAAAGTTAAAAACCAGTCAAAACTAATTGATGGTGATAACAATTAGGAAATGGTTAACTTTTAGGAAGAGTGATGAGAAGGAAGTAAAAGAGGGCTTCTGAGGTGCTAGTGCTCTGTTTCTTGGTCTGGGACAAAAGTATGCTCACTTTGTGAAAATTAATTGATTGTACATGGTTTATACATTTTTCTGTATTAATGTCATATTTCAATGAAAAGTTTACCTGAAAAAAAAAGCATGTGTCAATCTGCTTGTGTTCACCCAAAATAAATTTAATAAGTTTATCTTAGGTAATTACTATAATTATAAGAAAATTTGAAATCTTAAATGCTTAAGATTACTAATAAGATTAAAATGTAGTAAGTGGAGCAAATATTTGTATGAGTGAATTTGGCAAAATTAAAATTACAGATGAGACTAGCTACATTTATTGTTCTCTATTGTAAAAGTAGCTCTAACTTTGTGCATCTTATCGATATAAAATCTAAAGTCTGGCCCTGACCAGTGTGGCTCAGTTGGTTGGGCATCTTTCTGCAAAGTGAAAGGTTGCTAGTTCGATTCCTGGTCAGGGCACATTGCCTGGGTTGGGGTTTGCTCCCTGATCAGGGCTTGTACAAGAGGCCACCAATCGACGTTTCTCTCTTACATTGATGTTTCTTTCCCACTCTTTTTCCCTTTCTTCCCCTCTCTTTACAATAAGTAAAATAAAAAATATATGTAAGCTGAGTTGTATTAAATTTTTTTGATTAAATCTTCTATTCTCTTAAATACATCGCAAATATGCTGTAACAACAGGCCAACTGTGCAAGAAGATGGAGGAGATGTAATCTATAAGGGCTTTGAAGATGGCATCGTACAGCTGAAACTCCAGGGTTCTTGTACCAGCTGCCCTAGTTCAATCATTACTCTGAAAAATGGAATTCAGAACATGCTACAGTTTTATATTCCAGAAGTAGAGGGCGTAGAACAGGTATGACAATATTATGTGATGGTTTAGATTTTGAGAAGAAATTCATGACCTGACATTTTTGTCAAGGACTGGATCTTAGTGTTTGAATTGTTATCGGACTTAAAGACTCCTTAATTTAGAATTAACTTTAGTGTTATGACTATGTACTGTGTGCCATTTTTACAAACATTATTTGATCTTCTAATAGCACAGTGTATTAGGTGAGTCATTTCCATTTTGTGCATAGAAAATTGAGACTCAGAG